AAGAAATAAATATAAATAAAACTATAATATTCGATCTTAAATATATATATTATATATAATTATTAGATTTCCTTAAATCGTTTTATTATCTTTATAATATTTATTTATTTTATTAATTAAGCTAAAAAGTAATAATAATACCTCCTCTCCTTTAAAGAGTAGATAAATATTTATATAAATAGGAATATAGTAAATATCCTTCTTAAGATTATTTAGGACTAAGATTTTATTAATTATTTAAATATTTTAATATTTAATAATACTATAATAAACGATATTTATAATTAAAAGCTCTTTTAATCTCTTAATCCTTTATTAAGCTTTAAAGATACTATTAAATAGTAAATATATTATTTTAGTTATATCTTTAACTTAATTAATTATATATTCTTTTATAAAGAGGATAATAAAGTATTTAAATAAGAATCCTAATCCCTTAAAGAAGTAAAAGATCTTAATAATATCTTATAATATTAATAGAAAAAAAGCTTTATTAGAAAGCTTTATAATATTATTAAATAGATTAGATTTTCGCTTTAATATAGCGAATACTTTAAACGTTTTATAATAAAGGAGGATCTTAGTAAAAAAGAGATTCTCCTCTATTAATAATTTTCTAAAGAATTCTAATTTATCTTTAATAATAAGATATAATAGAATTTAATATATTTTATAATTAAATATACTTTTTAGAAGAAGAGTAATATTTAATATTTCCTCGCTAAGAATTAGCTTAAAGCTAATCTTTATAAATAAATTCCTTTAATTAATTATCTTTTATTAAAAGACTAATATCTTTTAATAAAGATTTAAATTATATTCGAACTTCTCTATTAATAAACGATATAAATATAAAGATAAATTAAATAAAGGAGTTATAAAGTTTTATAAGAGATTTTTATTAAAATAGAATTTATCCTCGAAAGGATAAAAAATTAAAAGGCTTTCTTTAATAATTTAAATTAAAATAATTAATAATAGATAAATTATTTATACTAGGTCCCGCTTAAATATAATTATCGACTTTAGAATTAATATTTTAAATTACTTCTATTTAATTAAGCCCTCTTTAACTATATTTATCCTAAATATATAGAAGTTCTTTAATATTTCGAGGCTTTATTAGAAGATTTACGCTAATACTTCCGCCTCTTAATTATTAATATTTAATAGAAGCTTAACGAATATTATATAAAGCTTAGCGAATCTTTATTATATATAATTATTATAATTCTATACCTTAAGCTTAGAATTTAATAGCTTAAAGTATAATAAGTAAACTCTAAGTAATTAATATAGGTTTATAAAGTAAAAGAAGGTATATATTAATAATAAGATTATTAATATCGTTAATCCCCTTTATCTAATACTCCGTCTCTTAGCTAAGAGCTAAGAGACTTCGAAATCTTATACTCTCTATAAACTATAATATTAATTATAAGCTTTAACGATTAAATATATAATAGGTATTAAAGAATACTAATAGCCGATTTAGAACTTAATATCTATCTTCGCTTTAATCTCTTAAAAGCTTTAGATATTAAGGATCTTATTCTATAATAGATTAATTAATAGGAGACTTATTTTATAATTAATAAATTCGCCCTCGATATCTTTATAATATTAATAATATTAATAGACTATAAGAGGGTATTTAGCCTCTCGAAGCTAACTTTAACTTTATAAAGGATAAAGATAGCCTTAGAGACCTTTAAAAAGCTATAGTATATTAATAACTAGCTTCGTCGGGGTACTATTATATTAAGCGAATAGTATTTCAGCTTATAGAGCGGCTAAGGGGCTTAATATTACGGAACCTAGCTAATACGTAGGGCTAGACTATCGCGAGAGCTTTATTTCGATTAAAGGGCTTAATACTACGGAACTTAGCTAATATATAGGGCTAGACTATCGCGAGAGCTTTATTTCGACGTTAAATCGAATTAAATACTTATAAATACGACTAAATAGTTAAATCTACTAGTTTTAGTAGTTTAAATAGTTAAATATACCCCCTATATTTAACTTATTTAGTCGGGTAGCAGCGCCATCGTCGATATTCTGGCTAGCAGGCGTATGGCGAGCGTCTGCACCGGCCCTATATCTCACGGCATCAAATGCGCCTACTTACTCGCGTGAGGTATTGCTTTTTAATTAGTCTCTCTCGAGGACGGGAAGAGCTGCCAACAGGAGCACGGAGTCTGGACGTCGATGTCCGGATATAGTGACCTGGTGACCTGTCAATTGGAGATAGAGAACGGCATCCTCGCCTATCATGCCGGTGCCGCCGATCACTAGAACACTCATGTTTGTGGTGTTTTGCGTTTGACCAGGGAAAGGCTATATGTCATTGGGAATGGCACAACTTGATAAGTGAGGACCAGCGGCACTTCGTACTCATACTCGAACTCGCAGCATTCACAAGCCTGCCTATCCCGACAAACTTTGCTTTTGAAAACATCCCTAAGTAACCATTCTACCAGGGTTTCGAGCTTTTGACGCTATACGAGACAATGTGATTGTTAACGTACCTAGATACCTGGTTAAATCTTAACCAGCGCCATGACGTGGTAGTGAATGAGCCCTGTATCCAGAGCGCCCTTAGGTACCCCACCCCCTAAAACTTGTCTTCACCTCGTCGGTACCCTCACCAATCAACACGGATAGCTAAAAGCCAACTTGCCCTTGATTATTCTCCTTTGGGGCATTTCAACATTGTGTCATGCCGAACCGTACTTCTCGCATCTTCTCCAGTGATCTTACCGCAGCAAAAAAAATAAAAAATAGTAAACATTACGGCCTTCTACCAAGGTCAGATCGTCTATCATCAACTGTATCCTACCTACCATGCCTACTATCTGTGCAGTGCTCAGACGGATGATGCATGTTGCTCGACTGCTGACTGCTTCCTCTCCTTCCAAGCTTTTAATAGCCAAACTACACCTTTCTGAAAGAAAGCAGCAACAAATAGACATTGAGCAGTTATTGGAATATCTTTCAGGCCACCCGCCAATCCGTCGTTGGCGAAGTTGATACACATGTGCATGACTGTCATGGTGAGTATGGCATTCTGCAGATTTGGGCCGAGCTTGTCAAAGTGGGCGCGCTGCAACGCGACAGCAAAGATGACAGTGAATATGGCGAGTCCTACGAGAAAATACGGCGTGGTCGGGAAGAGAAATGGGCCATAGAAGCCGCGGAGGATGGCAGTCATCTTGCCGTTCTCTTGACGCGATGTACAGTGGTTAGTAATGGATCGCAACTCGCTGGATGCAATCGGAGGAGCTCTGTCACTGACCTTCATCATCTCTTTCCTTGTAGGAACCGATCGGGGGATACGCCAGGAATAGGAGAACTACAACCATCAGGTTTGTCAACCCTGTGCGTAGATCTCTCCAGTTTGCCAGTCTTGTCCCATGGCTCCCCCGATCCCCTCGATTGGGCGCTGAAGGAGTCCCAGGAGTGAACGAAACGTGCTGGATCAGCGACTCTCGTTCATCCGGGTGGATGGGAGATGCTGTCGTCGCGTGCATTTGTAAAGCCTTGACCGGTGATATGGTTGATGTTTGTTGGATCCCATTCACCCAGCCTGCAGCGGTCGGTGGTGGGGTAAGGTGTGTTGGAGCTGGTATTGTGACAGTGCGGCTCTCATCATGGGCCAGCTGAGATAAAACTGTGCCTCACTCGTCACTTTCCGTGGTAATGCCGGGGTGCCAACGCCTTCAGCTGGGTTAACCCCCCGGAATAGCCAAGCTCAAAACGCCCTCGACAACCGTGATTGACATTTTGTAGGCTGTCTTGAACCACCAGACACCTCGATCTTGAAATTCTTCAAACCAATCTCTTAAAACGCACACGCTCACACGACCCGTCTGCTGATGCAGCGAAGTCGCGGCACCGGAAGTCTATTGTGCCCGCCTCCCTTTGACGAGTATTTACCCCGTTCAAAACTACCGATTAGGCTTCCTTCTTTCCAAACGTATTCGTTGCTGTTCCAGCGATCAACCCACCGGCATCGGGTCCCTGAAATAGTCCACGTCGTCATTCCATACTCTAATTTGAGTACTCGCAGAGACGGATCACACCGGATGATCTGTCATGAGTGGCACGACTAATACAATTGCACTGGCCACACGATATGCCGTACATCAGCGACGTAGGTCAGCCTATACTGGAATAATCGCATTCATTCATCGTTGACACGCTACGAGCGGGAAGCTCGTCGGTGAAGAACAACAGAATATCGAGTGGCCTTTTGCTCAGCGAAATAGAAGTGGAAGAAACTCTGGTTAGAACATGATCCCTCACGAATAAAGTTCAGCGCTCTGGGTACGAGCTACAACCGATCAGCAAGTGCCTCGTTATGGGGGGAACAAACAACAACCGGCCGTCGAGTCCTCAACGCCCTCGTCATCCATACCGTTATCCTAGGAACATCTCAGTAGGCGACATGTTATTGCCATGCTGGTTGGGAGAACCCTGTAGACAGTACCTTCCCAACCGGCCACCCCCACGGGTGGCATGTCGCAAGATTGTGATGAAGAGAGCTTGTCTGCATTAGTGCTGCCTGAATTGGAACCACGGCCGAACGTGCCGTCACCGGCCCAGTTCCGGGGTCTAGGGGTCGAACTTGCGACCGGCGTTCGCTGCCCCTGGTGCCTGCAGTTCGTTTCTTGGCTTTTCAATCCTTCCTGGGCACTTCCGGGGACTGCATGTTCACCGTCACAGCCGTACCAAGCCTGAGACGACATCAAAATTGACCGGCATATGTGCAGGGTTCGCAGCAGAACTGTCTTCAAGTGTGCCGTCAGGAACCATTTGCCCACTTGTCGCGCCACCAGCGACGGATTTGTAGCTGTCATGTGAATCACATTGAGCACTGTCCCTGATCTGAGGAGACTTCCTTTCGTATACCAATTCGACAAACGGTCCCCATGAGATTGACTTTTCGCTCGACATGATCTTCTGTCCTTCTTAGTACGCGCAGTACCCTCGCAGCAATGTCAGCATCAGGTCCGCCGTCAGGGCCTTCTCAGGCACCAATCGACCCAGCAAGAGCGGCAGAGAGCAACACGGCTCGCATTGTCAGCATTGTCACAGTATTTCATGTCCTTGCTTTGACGACGATCGCATTACGCATCTACGCACGAGTATGGGTCATTCGGAGTCCTGGAGCAGATGACTGGGTTATGCTTCTTTGTGCTGTAAGTAGTTTCGCTCAGTTGTGAAGTCCATAGTTGAACTCGTTGTCTGACTCGCGAGTTGAAGGTCTGCGCTATGGGAGGCTGGAGCATCTTCATCATACAGGCACATTACGGACTTGGAAAACACCAGGATACGATTGAAACGCCCGACTTCAAGATTTTCCAGCATGCTGGTTTCTGGCAATCCATCATCTCGGCCGCTGGGGCTCTGATGTGGCTCAAGATATCCATTGCCCTGAACTTGTTGCGACTCAGTCAAAACAAGTGGTATACTTGGTCTCTGTGGGCCACGATCGGTGGGTATTCGTCAACTCTAATGCTAGGTTTCTTCGACTAATTGCTTTGATTGATAGGTTTGACGGCTATATATTGCATTGGAGGCATGTTTCCCTTCTTTCTACGATGCCGACCGATGGCAGGCTTTTGGGACAAGAGCCTCAAACCCGATTGCTACGACATTCAATTATTCATCACCTTTGGAATCATAAATACTGGTCAGTACGCATTCAAGTCGGCGCAAAGAGTGGACAGATGAACTGGTCTGACTTTTTCATAGCATTCAACATCTTCACTGATGTGGTATTGGCGACTCTTCCCATCCCCATTATCTGGAACCTTCAGATGAAGCGACGAGTCCGTCTCTCCGTCATTGCCATTCTCAGTTTAGGTTACTTGTGAGTTTCAAGGGGTCCGATTGGCCGTAATGGCCTTTGCTAACGATATCAGTGCGGTCGCAATGGGAGTCGTGAAGGCCATTTATCAAATCGCCTACGGGTCTAATCCTGACAAGACGTTCGAGCAAAGTGTTCAATTCTGGGGATTGTAAGGCGTCCGATATCCAGCCCTCTTATTCCCGTTTCTGACATCTACCTAGCCTTCAGCTCCAATTGGGCATTATCGCGGCTTGTGCACCAGCCCTCAAACCGCTCGTAAGCCGTTTCCTCAAGCTCTCCACGGCTGGAGACCACCGATATCCCTCAGGCCGCTCCCAGGCCCCGGGGAGCATCGGTCTGCAGACGATAGGCGGTTCAGGGCCCGCGCGACGCCACACAAGAAAACCCAGCTTCGAATCAGACGAGAGGGTCAGTGGGGGCAGTGACGGCGGCAGTCTGGGCGGCGCGGGCTCCAAGGGGCAGAACGAGATCTCTGTACAGGGAGCATTCTACAAGCATGGCGAAGGGGGCAGCGAAGAGAGGATCCTGGAGGATCAATTGGGGTGTATGGGGCCGCAGCGGGTAAAAGGGATTATGCGGACCACTGAGGTGATCGTCCAGTAATCAAGTCTTTCTCCTCGACGAACAAGCCCTGGTCGTCCAAGGCCAGGGGTGGGGATGGGGAAAGTGATGTGACATAGGGAGGTCTTGGTGCGCGGGATGTGGACTGGGAACTTTCTCGAGGCGTTTTCACCCTCGCGTTATACTCCGCTGACTAAAAATCCTGAAGAACATGTTGAAGGCCGGGGTCAGGCCTGCCAAGAGTTGTGGTAGTCAAGGCATGAACAGCTTGAGTCGATACGACCTGTTCCCGGCCTCTTTTCTTCTCGGAGGCTCTAGAATCTCGATTCGGATTTTTGAACAAGCGTTGTTACGAGCAGGGCGAACGTCCCGCGTCCAACTCAAGAAACGGATGTCAGTCGACTTTGTCAGGATAGAGATGGGTAGTATTGGTGGTGGCGCGCGTCCACGGCGGTCCCCCCCTCTTCCGAGTATTGGAGGATCGAGACTCTGTAGCGCAAGCACTGTGATCAAATGGTTAAAAGCCCCACCACCGCCACTTCCGAAGCCAGTAGGCTCGGCACCGGGCCGTGGTGATTCGATCTGCAAGAATCGTCAGGGGTCGGGGAAAACGGCGCGACAAGGTGGCGACGGACCCCGGTATCGACTTGTGCTAAGGGGGACGCAACCTGGCCAGGGCTCTTGAAGCCGAAGGCTGTGAGATATTCCACCGAGGTAGCGAGAATGGGGCCATTGAACAATTGCTTGTCGATGGAGAACAGACAGTACACAAGGGGGGGATTTTGTTCCGTAGTCCGCTGGGTCGCATGACTTCCCCTTCAGGACATGATTCCCGACGGCGAATTTGATAAATGAGTAGGTAAGATGGGGTTCCGAGCACCGTGGCATGACAGGATCCCATGCGCAGTAGCTTGCATGGTGGTTTACGGATTGGTTCTACCACATATGAGGATATCAGTGGCGCATGGTACAATTAATCTATTTCGTCCATGTCTAAAGGCAAGCTATCTCATCACTCAAGGCTGGCAACCAGCTTGGGGAGCAGATACTGATTGTTGTACTCCCAGAGAATGGTCGTGAACTGCGCAGACCAGGCACCACCTGTATAGAAAGTGGATGAACGGCCTTGCAAACCGTACTTCCTCGTGATGAATCCGTCCCGCAGCGTATCAGATGCGACATGGAGGTGCATGGCGCCATGGTCAGACCACGCCGCAAGCTGCAGGGTCTGGTTACCGATCGCTGGGATAGTCTCGGCCTCAGCAAGCGTCCGAAAGGCGCGCTTGACCATGCGCTGGGCCTCACAGCTGTCGGTTGAGGCTTCACCGGTGACTAGAACGCGGAAGTTTTCGCCGCCCATGTAGTCAAAGCGACCGACAAAGGGATTCACAGGCAGCTCGAGCCAGTGGTTGGGAACTGCGGCTGCAGGCGTGTTGGTCAGAGAGCCGCTGACGGGAAGTGATGAGTGCTTCGCGATGCCGACGTAGACAGTTGACCACTCCCACTCAGAGAAGACACCGCGCTCCTCTTCGTCAATTTCGATGCCGCGGAGGTTGGCGATAGTCGGCTCGAAAGAGATGAGCAGTCGCTTTGCGCGGATCACCGTGTCGCGCGACGAGCCACGGGTCCGCACACGCAACGTCACGCCGTCATCGGTACGTTGGGACTCGACAACGGTGCTCGAGTACAGTACGTCATTGTCCAGAAGCGCAGCAATGTTGTCATAGAGCTCCTGGTTCCGGCGAGAACTAGGAACCCATGAGCCCGCGAGGCCGACGAAGCTTCGGGCGATCGGAGCACCAAAAGCCTGCATCACATACAACGTGGAGATGTCTGCCATGTCACCCATACCGAGCCCAGTGACTTGGAATATGCGAGGTACAGCGGCCTCAAGGCCGTACTTGGTGACGAAGGCAGAAAAGGGAAGCACCAGGTCCTCGGGGACATTGCCAGCTGTGGGGAAGTTTGCATATGACGGCAAGATCATGTGCTCGTACTTTTCGCAGACCTCAAGGTACTTTCGGAGAGCCGCAGTCGTATCGGCAGCGGCAGGAAGGACGTATCCGCCTTGAACCTCGCCAGAGTTGAAGTTGGCATAGGTGGTTGTGAGAGGTACGCGAGTAGGAGGACTCAACGAGACGTTGAAACGAGCGAAGAAGTCTTCTGCGCCGGGATACTCTGTATAAGAGTTCACACCAAAATCGTATGGTACCTCGGTGTCCGGGTCGATGTAGGTCGCAACATGTCCTCCCTGAAGAGAGACCAGTTAGCCCAATTATCGATGAAGATAAACCAGAATGCGTCAAATTACCAATTGGGCCTTCTTTTCGACAACAATGACACTTTTACCGTAATCTTCACGTAGTCTGACGGCAGCATGCGCGCCGGACGCGCCTCCTCCCAGGACGACAACATCTTTTTCGATGACATTGTCCGGTAGAGCTGCTGCAGAGACGAGTGTCACACTGGCAAACACACTGCGCAGCGTGGTGGACAAGGACGGGAATAAAGACATGCTGGGTAATGACTGAACCGGCAACAGTCGACCAAAGGGATAACGAGAGTAGACAGGCTGGACTAGAAGCTGCCTTCCTGACGTCGCCCATAGAGGATTTTGCCGCGGGCCATGGTGCCTTTTATTCGGCCATCTCAAGATCCCAGGGACCAGGGAGCAATCCTCAGGTGAGATAACGTGCAGCAGGTGGTATGCTGGGCTGCTGCACCCACTTCGTCGGACTCCAAGACGACGGGGCATTAGCGCCAACCCCTCGTGCAGGAGAAAAGTGGTCTGCTGCCGGATGGAGACAGGGGTTCGCTACCAGGATGCCGTACGAATCCTGCGCATACGCTTGGCGGCACGCGTCTAGCGATGGATGAAATCAGTTGATGGTCTTGTCGACGCCACCGATATTCGAAAGCTCGGCAGTTCGGATGAAGGGTGACTGATGGTGCCCATTCTGCCTCGTAGGTGCTTGAAGTCAACCGCAATGGTGGAGTTCCTCAACCCCATGAGCAAATCTGAATAGCGTGGTTGAAACTGCAGACGGCGCATGCATGCCACTTCTATCCTGTTCCTTGTACATCAATGCCATGTCGACCATATCGGTGCCTTTCGTCTGCTCTGCCTTGTGGAGACCCAATCTGTTCGGCTGTAGGATACGTGTCCGATCCTGCTCCGTCCAAGCCGACGTTGACGACGTAGCCGAGTCGGTCGATGACAAGTTGTAGCGGTACAAGGTTCCGGGAGGCAGAATAATCAGGCGGCTTCGTTCTTACAAACACTTGCTAATACGCGTTACGCAGTGGCAAAACAGTCGTGGTAGGTGGCCGCTTACTTCGTACTTTGGACTTAATGCGCACACTTGTTCAGCGAACGATGATTTCGATTTTCAGGTTGGAGCCGACACATCGAGAAGTACTGTATAGACATTTTCAGGCATGACGTGCGCCGTCAGACGATGAGACGATGACTGTAGAGATCCTCCTTGCGATCAGTGTCTGCGATTCACGGGCGCCATGTCGAGTGGATTTCGTAGCCCTCAGTCAAATCGACACCAGTGATCGTTCCAAAACTTTGTCCCTCAGGTCCGTACATCGAGATCTTGTGGCGCTCTATCAATAAACTTGTGATATATTAGCGATATCGCTATAAACAGTATGTAAACCATCGTGCTGCGATGCGTCGTTGCCTTGTTGCTACTGCTGCCACCTCCGAGCCGGTATGGACGAATATCCCTCAGGTAAACCAAAGGCCAATCCAGATCGAGCGGCCCTGTCAGGTTCCTGTGGCAGCCGCGCAATTGGGGGCGAGATTTCACAACACTTGAAGTGTCGATTGTGATGGTACGTTTTGCGACATCGTTGTTCGGGCCACGCTTTGGACTTGTAAGGTCATTCGAGCGCCCAGCACGGGTCACAAGGTTTTGCTACGCTTACGGGAGGCAGAGAGGTCAATCTGACCCAGAGGTGGCCTTGAGATCATTTTTAGATGGTGATAGGTTTCGAAAGCCGTTTTGCGACCATGTGGGAATACAAACTCCTCGCATTGATGCTGTCTATGGTCAAACAAACGGGAAGAGGTAACAGAAGGAACAGATTAAGAGCATACGCGGTCCGCGCCACAGATGCGTGCTGGCCTTGGCGTCACGAGACATGACGGCTATGATGGACGAGGAGCAAGGTTGAAGCACTGTATCCAGGAGGTTGTCCAGGAAAGAAAAGAAGGAAACAGTTGTCGACACCATGTAGTTGGGACTGAATCATGATAAGGAATGATAATGTGATTTGCAGCAGGGGAAAGGTGGAAATGGTGGGCCTACGTCTATCCGCATAGACCCTCGCCGTCTAATGACTCGTGACATCCCTAGCACTCGTCACATGCCAAAAGGGTGAGGGTCTGTGATGTTCAGGCTCCCACAATGGAGCAGTCCGCCTACGTCGAGACGTGATACCCGTGACCTTTCTTCTCAACCTCTCGTCAGCATTCTGCTGGAACATCAATACGTTTAGGGGAGAATTTTCTATTCACATTCCAAGATCGAAACAGGACATGTCTCGTCGTGGATGGCCCCTCCTGTGTCGGTGGTGTCGGTGTTCAGCTGGGTTCAGCTCAGGCCAATCCAGCAGGGCGCATTTTACGACATGTCTTGACAATAGGCCGCTTTTGAAAGATTCGCTGCACCATACTGTCAGATGTTTGTTCCATTCACGTGGCATTCGTGAGACGCCATTTCTAGGCAAGGGATGACCTAAGGCCTCGCAGGTCATTTCAGTCCGACGCCGACATTATCCCTGGCTGATTCTGGTCAAGGCATATCCTGAACTACCTACCATTTGCAATACGATTACTCTACATGTTTCTCAGCTCGTGTCTCTTCAAACGTTGTGGCGCCATGCTTCGCCTACCAGCATTATCATGGCTTCAGCAGCTCACCAGTCATCGGGTTCCCGGGGGCGCAGTGTGCCTGGCCAGGCCCCGTCAACCATGTTAGCACATGGGATGGACGCCTCCGATTGATTTAAGCTTATTCGTTGGGCAACAC